TTGATAATGATGGTAAATCACGTTTAGGAGCACAAGCTTTTTTAAATGATGAAACTCAGGAAAGTTATGAGTGGATTTTACAACAAACGCTAAATGCAACAGGAATTGAACCAAAAGTTATAATCACTGATATGGATCCTGCAATGGATGTGGCATGTCAAACTACGTACAAAAATGCGTATCACATACATTGCATTTGGCATATGACCCAAAATTTACCTAAACGTCTCAAAAATAAACTTGGTGCTGCAGATTTTAAGATATTTTTTCATGATTTTTGGAAAACTCGCAATTCACTATGTGCAGAGGTTTTTGAACAACGATTTCAAGCTTTATTAAATAACTTTCCCAGTGGCAGTGATTATTTACATGACCCAATATATTCAACACGCCATTCATGGGCACGAGCATTTACAAACAGAATATTTACAGCTGGTATACAGTCAACACAGCGTGTGGAGTCAATAAATGCCATTATTCATAAAGTTGTTAATTCTAGCTCTACAATGGCAGAAGTAGCTGAGGCATTAGATTCTCGAATGCAAAAAGAAGAAATAAACAAGAATTTTATAGCATGGAAATACAAATCAACAATATATCATCAGCCATTTGTTGTGGAAAATTTTTTTAGTAACGTTAATAATATAGTTCAAAAATATTTTTCACCAAGAATTGTTGGGGAAATACATAAACAAATGTGCGAATCAATAATTTACAAATGTGAAAAACTAGATATTAAAGATGCATTTGAGTTTATTGAGGATCAACTGGTGAGTAAAAAATTAAAATTATAGTAGAATGATATAATAAATGTTTAACTAGTACTATTATGTATATATTTTTAGGATCAAAATGAAATTCCCGAAAATCAAGAAAGCCAAGGAACGTCAAATGATCAAGAAGAAACCAATAATATTGAAGATTATTACGATTTTCGCCAGACATACTTAAAATCATTGTTAAATTCAGTACCAAAAGAAATGATTAAAGAAGTATGGCGTATCATTCCATATATGGTGCCAAGTTCATATCAGCATATTATTATTCTTAACGATGGAACCCATTTATGTACATGCTTGTTATTGGTTTCATATGGAATTATTTGTCGTCATTATTTTAAATTAATGATTGAAAATCCAAACGCATTATTCCATATAATGCTAATGCCAACAAGATGGCTTCTGGATGACGCTTGGAATCACATTGACTCTATTTTTAATGAAGCTTTTATCGGAACATCATCTAAAAATTTAAAGCCAATTCATGATGATAATATTGATCAAAGGATTTATCTTAATCCTAGGCATATTAATCACGTTCAAGAAGTAGAAATTCGTTATTATACACAAAAAAAAGTAGATTATGGTCGAATTATGGGACATTTTAAGAAAGCACTAAACTATTCATTTGATAATAACGATCAAAAAAATTTAGATGATATTATACTAGCTTACATTGCGGAAAAAGAAACTATTATGACTCAATTAGAAAGGGGAAATGTTCTTAAAGACAATAATACAAATAATCAATTAAAGTTGTCTGATGGTCGTACATATGATGTAGATGATATTGGAAATCCATTAAAACGTCAAGGAAAAGGGAGACCTGCTACTAAGCGATTAAAAGCTTGTAATGAACAAAAAAATAAGGCGAGTACGACACAAAAATCACAAAAAGAGAATGTACTATATGAAGAAAATATTGAAAATTCAAATGGGCGTAAATGTGGTTTGTGTCATAAAATGGGTCATTATGCTCCCAAGTGTCCCAATAAGAAAAACGTATAATATTTTAACAATTAAATAAAGTAATAATTTTTACTGTGTATAAATAATAATTTTTTAGTACATGTAAGCTAATTTATTAAGAGTTGAACAATATACAAATACAATTCTGAATTTCTAATATTTAAACTAACCTATAAAGGATATAATCCCACGAAAATCCTTATCATAAAACACTATTCATACCCTTCGTTGATTTATAAAATAGTGTGTTGAATTTCATTTTGTTTATTTCTGTATAAGCAAGGCTGTACGTCTAATCTTTACATTATGTTAATATCTAAATAAAAATTGGGCATTAGTTTGCGAGTTCAGAATTTCATTGCAAATGCACAACCACGACTAAAATATTCATACTTGTTTGTATAAATACCTCTTTCTATACTCCTCTTTCAAACACTTCGGATGCAATAAAAGGTGGCTTATCTATTATATGTGGTCGCACAGATCTGTTGTGCATTTATTCCAAAATAAATCTCAAAAATATCAAGTGTTTCCTGATGAAAAGTTTTGCCATTATCATATAAAAGAAAAGCAAAAACTAATTCTTTAAATTGAAGTATAAAAACGTATATACTTTTAATAAAAAAAAAGAATTTGTTTGATTGCTACTTGATTAAACTAATGAATTATATAAGAAAAATGATTAAAATCCAAGTTAATTTAAGTTATTAAAATTGATGAATAAAGAGAAATTTTACCTTCTTAAGCCACTGAAAAACACATCTAGATTCTTTAAAAGCAAAATCCATTAAAGATATTTGACAGAATTGCGTATCTTAGGAAATTCTTGCTATTTAATAGATTAATAAATAAGTTAGCTGTTGAGCACAATAAAGTAATACTATTTAACACCAATAAACTAATGCGCAATAATATAATGCTTTGTGACGTTAATTAATATACATCTAACGCTATTTAACGTCACCTAACTAATAAATAATGTACATTTAACGCTATCTAACATCACCTAACTAATAAATAATGCTATTGACGTTAATTGTTAAGAAATTAACGCTATTAAAACTCCAAATTAATTTTTTTTAAGCACTTTCAATAGTATTTCAGTAGTATTTCACAAAAAAAAAATGTGCGCAATTGACTAACCTGTGGAGTGTTATCATTTTCCATGTTTCACGAATCACTGCTTGAGCCGTGTAACCCAATTTCTTTATGATAATTGAACAATTAAAGTTTTTGAGCTACTTTACTAGTACATAAAAGTATTTTTAAATGTTAAGAAGCAACTTTAACGCGTTTTTAAGCAAAAAAACAGGTTGTTTTTTTTATTTAAAAAGAGTGTTAGAAAAAAAAACTATCGACGAAGCTATAAAATTGTTTATATTTATTGTAACACAATAATCGTGCTATATTTTAATTGGATTTATCACGTGATAAATAAAATGGGGGGTAGCGATGTCATCGCACGTGCGATGAATAAATTTTCTCTATTAATAATTATATATTTATTTATAAAAAATTTATTTAAATATATATATAATGTATTAATAATTATTTATTTTAAATTTTATTAATTAGAAAGTTTAGACATAGTTTAGACATTTAGCTATTGTCGAAACCTTTTGTCATAGTTTAAACTATTACTAATTAAAGTTTAGACTTTTGTCAAAAGTTAAAATGAGTTTAGCCAAGCAACCTTAGCCGCCCCAGGTAAGATATATTATATATGTAATTTCCTTATATAGTATATATGTAACCTAAGATTTTTAATTACCTCCTCTCCCCCTAGAATATTAGATAATATCTGTCACTGCCCTTAGCATGATGTTATTTTTATATATTAAATTTAGAAAATAAAAAATTATTCAATAAGAAATAAATTTTTCAAAATAAAAATATATAAAATTAAATAAACTAAAATTATAAATAATAAATAATTAATTAAAATTAAAATAAATTAAAATCAATATAAAGTAAAAGTAAATTACACTGGTAAAAAAATGATCTATCCTATACATATCTTACATATATCTTATACATATCAGATATTCAAAATGTAGAAAATCTTACACAAATAATACACATATCATACACACATCAGGTATTTATATATATCATATACCTATTAGGATATATATACAGTCAACTCTTGTTATAATGAACCCTAGATTCCAGACCTTAACTTTGCTATAGGGCTATAGTAAAGATTTTAAGAGATTTGATTGGTTAATTTGTTATAGCAAAGGGAAATTTATTATAGTTGTCTAAAAAATTCACTATATCAAGGGTTCACTATATCAAGGTTTGACTGTATAAGTACTTAATATGTGTATGATATATGTATTATTTGTGTAAGATTTTCTACATTTTGAATATATAAGATATGTATAAGATAGATTATTTTTTTACTATTATTACAAAATTAAAATATAAAAAAAATACAATTAAAATAAAAAAAAGTTAAAAGAAATTCAAAAATAATTTTAAAAAAACTCAAAGAAAAATTAAAAAAAAACAACCAAAAAATTTTAATAAAAAAAATTCAAAAAAAAATTTTTTTAAAAAAAAAAATCAAGAATCAAAAAATTTCCAAGAAAAAATCCAAAAAAAAATCCAAAAAAAAACTTAAAAAATTCAAATAAAAAATATAAAAAAACTGGTTAATTATTATAAAATGTAAAGAAACTAGATTTCTGAAATTCAAAATTATTTAAGAAAAAAAAAACAGTTAATTAAAATAAATATCTGTTAGTATCTAATAAACAAATAAATATAATATATGGTTAAAAATTTTAATTTTAATTATAAAATTAGGTTAATTTTAGCCAATTTTCCATATTTTATATAATTATGATTTGTATTTTTTAATAGTGAATTTTTTCATATTTTTATAATATACTATTCTTTATAAGATATTTATTTTTGAAATTTATATTATTATTATTAATACAATTTATAATAAATAATTACTTTGTTTAATTTAAATATTTAAACAATTTTACAACTTATGCCTTTTTTTTATAATTTAAGAATCTAATATAAACAAAATATATAATTGGTTTTTTATTTAAATTTTTTTTTTTTTTATTTATTAAACAAAATCCACTTAAAATTTTACAAAATCTTTTATTTTATAATATAGCAACTTAAATTTCAATTTAAATTTCAATATATTTATTTCACATTAATATAATCATCCTATTTCATATATATAATAACCATTCAAACTTCTTTTTTCATTATATTATAAATATTTCAAATGTTTTCAAAAGATTTCCCTTTAATAGCTGAATACTTTGATAAAATGTTCTTTCTAACAAAATTTTCAAAAACTTCATCATAATCTTCCTTTACTTCAATCATACCAACTAATTCCAAATGTAAAGGAATCCTTTCATTATTTTTCCACATATCCAAAAAATCCCAAAGATTATATTTAGTAATAAATAAAGGATTTTTTAAGTATAATTTAAAAAGAGGATCAGGGGATTGATCAGCCAATAATTCCATTATTTTAGTATATTTTCTTCTATTCCCCTCACCATCATCATATTCAATTTGAATTAAAGGTTCTTTAATAAATTCCAATTTTAATATTTTTAATCTATCACAATTTAGTAATAATTGTTCAAAATCTTCGTATATAGTATCTTTATAACAAATTCCAAGAAATTCTATTAAAGGACAAAATGTTGAGATAGTTTGAATATATGAATGAATATGAGTATCAGGATAAATTGAGAATTTTGAATCAATATCGATTTTTCTCAATGAATTATTTCTTGTAGTTGAAATTAATTTTTGAAAAATGTGTAAAGGTTGAAGCCAAGGAACTGAAACATCATTATTATATTTGAGATAAAAATTTTCAAGATTTGGTAGAAAAGAATCACTCAAAGCACGTAAAATATTTGTTGAAGATAAAACTTCATTTTCTTCCTTGTGATGCCTTATTCCGCATTCATGATTTAATTTCAAGCTAAGTGACTTTAAATGAATCAAAGATTCGAATGTATCTTTTGGTAATTTCACTTCTCCTTTAAAAGATAAATGAGTCAAAGAATTTGACTGTGATCTTATTTCCTTAACAATATTGGTATAAATAACTCTCTCACTCATCACCATGTGAAATTCTTTTAAATTCTTTTGATTACTGATAAGATAAGCCAATCCTTCATTATCTCTATCAAATCTATCCACATTGATTTTTTGAATATTCCTACAAATTTTTGAAATATTTTTGTAAGTTGCTGTAACCAATTCCTGATCATATTTTTCTGAATTATCACAATCCAATTCAGTAATTCTTGAGAAAAACGTTTTTCCTATAACAAATAAATTAGTATCCAATTTGAACGGAACATTTTTGAATGAAATAGGGGAAGAACAATGATATATAAACAATTTCCAAAGATCATTAATCAAAGAATGTGCATCATAATAATCATCCTTATGATGAATCCATTCTTCACTAGTAAATAATAAATGTGCCATCATTTCAATTTCTGTACTATTAAAACAACGTATATAACTAACATAATCGAATAAAGGAATTTTTAATTTTGGTAACGAATTAGCTAAAATTTTTTTAATATGTTTTTTAATTACAGTAGTATCTTTTAATAAAGAACAGGAAAGAATTATTTTACAAAGTAATTTTTTATTTTTATTATGTAAATTTGGGTTAATGAATGGATTTTTCCATAAAAATGGAGCGGCAAGTTCACACCATTGTCGATTTACTAATAAACATGAAAATAATGTTGTGTGAATTTCTTTACTTTTATGTGTATTTGTAATTATTTCAAATATTTGCCAAAGACAATCTTTGGATAGTTTTGGATTTGAAAAAGACATTTTTTTTTTATTTTATTTTATTTTATTTTTTTTCCTAAATAGTAAAGAAGCGAAGTAAAGAAAAAGGAGAAAAGGTTAAACAAACGATGAACAATTGAAAAAAAAAAAAAATCAAATTTATCTTTTTTTTTCGTAATCTGTATATATATATGTATAATAATACGAATAAATGTTTGTTCATCTGATCTGTGATGTATTCATTGCTAATTTTGCCTAATTACTATAATAGCCAATTTGCTAGCTAGTTTTGACATTCAATGATTTTCAATCGCTGCGGTAAATTCTGGTGATCATCTTTGGCGTCATATGCCTAATTATTTGATTCTTTTCAACTGATTGATATTTTTAAAACTTATAAAAACGATATAACTTTTTCGAGTTACAATCTCCTGAATTTATAATGTTGTCAATTTCTTATTCACATGACAATTGGATGATCGTTTTTCCGGTTGATTATTAATTATTATATAATTCCAGGGGGTAATATCATGCGATTTTAATTAAAAAAAATGCAGTGTGACTGGTTACACAATAACAATAATTAAAAATAAACAATAAAAAATATTTTTCTCGCCTTATTCAGTTTTACCGTATTTTTGAGAAAAAAAATGTATAATGAATTAAATGAACGTATGAATAAAATGTCTGTTAATGAAGAAATTATTACAAAAAGTAATGATGGTTGTAATGCTAAAAGCTTAATCGAAGATCGAATCATTCTTAACGTTGGTGGTATCAAGGTAACGAAGAAATAAAACAATCCTTTTTGTTAAAAATTAAAAAAAACTCTTCACCTTTTTAACTTATTTTTTAAAAATAAAGTATGAAACGTTTATATCGACATTGACAGCATATCCTGATACATTACTTGGAATAATGTTTTCGGAACGGAATAAAGATATGGTACATTCAACGAATGGAAATGAATATTTTTTTGATCGAGATGGTTATTTATTTCGATATGTTCTTCAATATTATCGAACAGGAAAAGTTCATTGGCCAGAATTTCTATCATCAAATCAAATGGAAAATAATTCATTTGTAGATAAAGGATTAAAACAACCCGCATCGCCAATAGAAGTAGCGGGAATAATATCATTAAATAACAAAGAAGGAGGAGTAGTGGATAATTTAACTGGATTAGGAGTAGGGAATTACGTATCATTACCATTCACAAGAGAAGAATTGGAACAAGAATTATTATTTTTTTTAATTCCAACAAGATCAGATGAAGAATTAACTGAATCCATATTACAGGAAGAATCATTAAATGTTACTACACCATTATTAACATTTGCAAATAAAGCAGTGGTAGATAATGTTAATGGATTTTTATATTCATTAAAAGAAGTGATGTATTCTTTGGCATCATTATTCGAGAAAAAAATCATGATAACATTTTATCACGATAGACGAGCGCCAGTATTTAAATTAATACCACCAAATCCAAACATTATTATGAACGAATTAGCGCCCTTTAACGAAAAAATGAAAACCATTTTAACACCTTATGCGGGAGTTGGATATACTTTATTAATGAATTTTGAAAACGAAATCGAAGCTTGGATGATTGAAGAAATTAAAGAGTTGAGATGGTTTATGGAGAAACCCAGTGGGTTACCTAATAGATTTGTTTTATATTTGAGTTTTAATGATAAATTTTTAAAACAGCAAATTTTAAAAAATAGTTTACTATCCAAAGTTGTGAATGGAGGTAATGCAAGTCAAAATTTAAATACAAATGTAAATGAGAATACTACGACATCATCTGCTACAAATGCAATGGGAGAAAGTTCTGGAGGTGATGCAATTGCAAATTCTTCAACAACATCATGAAATAAAGTAATATGTTGCAAAGGTAAGGTGAATTTAATAAAAAATATTTCAGATTCATTTACTTTTATAATATTAAATTTATTAATATAAATCGATCTATATAAATTAATCACTAATTAATTCAAATTAATTTTTCTTTATAATAAGATAAGTTTATTAAAATCTCTTGTAAAAATAATACAAAATAAAAAAAAAAAGAAACCTATTGTTAAAAGTGATATTATTTAAAATGGAAATTCTTTGATCCATTTACCTGAATCAACAGTTAAAACATCATCTTTAATAAATTTATCAATAACAACTAAATAAGGATGCAAGTCTTCTTTTTCATTATCTTTGATTTTTAAAGTTAATTTAATATTTCTTGGTTTCCATAATTCCAAAAAATAAGATAATTCATGAGGTAATAACCACCAAAGATTACTTAAATATAAATAATTTAAATTGATAGAAGACCAAGCAATTAAAGCATCTAATAATGATTTAGTTTGCAATTCCCTTTCCATATTATAATCATAATTTTCATCATTTTGTACTTTTAAGAAATCAAATTCAATAGAATTTAAATATTCAGCACTAATTAATAATTGTTTAAAATCATTCAGTAAATCACTAATATACCAAATTTTTAAATGATTAATTAAAGGACAATGATTAATTATTGATTGAATGAATAATTGTAATCCAATTATCTTTGAGGGAGGTCTTGTAGCATTAATTATTTCAAATTTCCGAAGCAAACCTTTTGTAGTTGAAATTAGTTTTGAAAAACAATCTAAAGAAATTTCAAAGGAATAATAATTTAAGTGAATAACAAAAAATTCCAACTTTGGCAAAACAGTTAAATTTAATAGACAATTAATATTGCTATATGTAGCAAATTTAATGTGTAATTGCTTTAAATTATGTAAAGAAGAGAGAAATGAATTTTGTGAAGAAAAATAAAAGTTTCCTTTGAATGATAATATTTCAAGTGAATTAGATTTAGTTGATAATGCCTGATTAATAAATCTTAAATTTTCTACATGTTGATTTGTAAATAAATGTATCTCTTCTAAATTATTCTGCGCTTTAATTAAAGTAGCCAAACCTCTGTCATCTTTATCTAAAGGATTAATCCTAATTTTTGTTAAATTATGACAAATATTAGCCAATCCAATAAAATTTTTATTTATAGATTGATTCATTTCATTTCCAACTACACATTCCAATTCATTTAACCATCTTAAACATTGTTGAGATCCAGGTAATATACTAATATTAATATTTTGAGGTAATTTAAGATATTCAATATTATTACATTTTTTCATAAATAATCTCCAAATTTCTTCAAATAAAATATAACCAATATTTTCTTCGTGTTTTTTATCAAAAATAACATTTAATTCTCGTTTATTTTCAATTAGCATTCTAGTCACATTTTCAATATCTAGACAATTAATATGTCTACAATAACTTACATAATCAAATATTGGATCTTTCATGGGGTTTTCAAAAGAAATTAATCCAAAAATATCGGTCAAATTTTTGTCCTGTTGTTGTTCACGATGATATTGTAACAAACATGATAAAATTGTTCTCGCGATAGAAAGTTTTTTATTATAATTGTTTTTTGATTTATTTGAATTTGGATTCCACGGATTTCTCCATAATATTGGTATAGCATTTTGAAAAAATAATTTATTTACTAATATACATGAGTAAAGGTTTTTATGCGTTATATGAAGATATTCTGATGAATCAACGATATATTCAAATATTCGTCTTAAACAATCCGGGTATAATTGAATTCGTGAATTCATAGTAAGAAATTTTTTTAAAATTTTTTTTTTTTACAATTTCTTGGAGAGAGAGGGAGAGGGAGAGAAAAAATGCCCACAATTGTTAACGAAAGATAAAATAAATGATGATTTATTGTAATTTACGGATGTGTAAGATTTCACGTTTTTTGGGACTTTTAATAATGAAAAAGTATTCTGTTTGTATTACAATGTGTTTGTAATTCTGCAACGTGTCACTGAATAACCCACGCGGTAAAACCGCAGTAAAAGTATTAGAAAATCGGCGCAAGACGAAAAAATGATTTGATGATAGATAATATCGTGACATAATATTTGGACACTATTTATTTTCCACAATGTATATGTTAACTTTGTTTAAATTAATTATCAAAAAGCGACCATACTCTCTATGTTTCAATGAATATATTGAAATAACCAAACTAGGAGAACTTTATCGAACCCCGATATAACAATCGATTCCAATTTAGGTATGACGCAAGATGAAAAATGATTTAATAACAGATAATATGACAAATGCACTATCCTATTTTTTTCACAATGCATATATTAACTTTGTTTAAACTCTATCTCTATGAAGTAACTAAATTAGGAATCGGACCAATATAATAATTTAGGTATGGTTCTTTTTTATAATTGTAGAAAATCGACGCAAGAAGTTTAATTATAACAAGTGCACTATCCAATTCATTTTGTATAATAATATTTTGGACACTATTCATTTTTACAATGCATACATTAACTTTAATTATTAAAGGCGATCATAACTCTCTATGTCTATTGAAGTAACCAAATTATGTCGAACCGAACAATCGATTCCAATTTAGGTATGATTCGACGCAAGATTTTAAATTATGACAAATGCACTATTTGTATAATATTATTTTGGACACTATTTATTTTTTACAATGCATAGATTAACTTTGTTTAAATTAGTTATTAGAATTTTTTTTTTTTTTTTTAATATCCGAAATACATTTCAAGTCCAGAGAGACCCTAAAAAAAACGCCTAAAAGAAAAAAAAACGAACTTTCTATCTCTATGAAGTAACCAAACCAGGAGATCTTAATCGGACCAATATAATAATCGATCCTTTAAGAGATTGGGAAATTGACGATAATGTTCGTCTTATTGTTAAATTTTAGGGTATATGATAATATGAGCAATATGGGCAATATCGAACTTTATGACAACTGACAACTAAAACTTCTAGTATCGAAATTGTCATTGGAAAGTTTCTTGCCCACTGCGATTTTTAATATATATGATAATTATCGTATAAAATACCCCGGGTATAAATAAACTTACCGGGGTATTTTATACGAAAAATGGCCTAATTCTCAGAATTAAATTTTTTAACCACCCTGGTGTGTTATAACGGGATACGCCGGGGTCTTTTAATCAGTACTACACGGTGTTTAAATTCCTTATTTTCATTAATTCATTAATATACGGCCGAGGAATTCGGTAAACTCAAATAGAATAATCTCGATCTCATATTCGGCCGGTTTGAAAGACAAACTTCGCCATCGGTATAGTTTTTCCGAACCGTGTTAATTTTGTCAATCACGTCAATCATGTCAATCATGTCAATTAAGTTAATTTTATATGACGTACATAATTATTTTTAGGTTATCGACCGAATTAATGTTGTTGATTCTGCAGTACATCACCTTGCAGATGGATTTTTCTTAATTCTTATTGGTTAATGTTAAATTGATAAAATATAAAACGGATTTTATTTTATTTTTTTTAAAAAATTTTTTTTTTTTTTTTTTTTTTTTCTGAAAGAAACACTGCAGATAATTTTGTTATATAAATAAACGCGTATTATTTATAAAAAAAAAAAAGAAAATTGAAATAACCGTGTGACGGAGTTGTAAAACATTTGCCGTAAGGTTGTTTGACTAGGATGTTTCCAAGAAAGAGCTAATTGAACAAAAAATTTTTTTTCTTCAACTATGAACCTTTAAGAGGGCTTAAATGCTTTCTATATGTAAATTATAGAAATGATTGCCTTTTTTTATTATGATCTGTTAAATGCGTTCAATTACTCATTGAGTCATTGAATCAATTACGTATTTCTCGCGTCATATATAATAAAATAGGGTATATCATCATCTCGCAACAAAGTCCATCCGGTTTTTTTTTTCTTATTGTGATTTTAAGATTTGATTATCTGTTTTTTTAATCAACGAAAAAAAGATTTATTATCAATATTTGGTTAGTAAATAACTCCATAATTATTTTATAATGGAAGGAAGAATAAAGTTTATTTATTTTGTTCCCGAAAATGATAAACTAGGCATTGAAAATTTATATATATTCTGCGACTAGATAATTGCCTAACCATTCCAATCTTCACTGATTAAACTAAATAATACTTCGGTAAGTGAATGATTTAACTTTTTGCATATTATTTTCAAAAAATAACCTATACATTTTATACATTCCTTGAATTACAAACAGCCTGTATGGGAAGTATGGATTACTCTTCCACTGAAGTTTTCGGCACTGAATTAACGGAGATAGAAAATAAACCTTGGTTTTCATCTCTCTTTTATTTAGACCAATGTATTCCTACAACTTCTTGTATCATGGGAAGTATGGATTACTCCTCCACTGAAGTTTTCGGAATTTTGTATCAAGTTGGCACTGAATTAACGGAGATAGAAAATAAACCTTGGTTTTCATCTCTCTTTTATTTGGACAAATATATTCCTACAACTTCTTATATCAATCTGGTTATTAATGATGAAATTAGACCTACGTTTTTATATTTTCACGGTGAAGTAGAAATTTATAAATTGTATTCAGTGTTTGCTTGCCTTCTACCAAACGAGTACATAAAGAATAGTACATTAAGCATTAAGAATGCCAGTGGTTTGGAAGTTGGATCGTGGAAAATATATGAGAATAATATTATCGACAATTATGGTTGGTATATAACAATCATTTTGCTACCTCTTTTACTTTTTTATATTAATTTTTCTTAATTCACTTAGATGTATCATGTGAATCAGTTGCACAGTCATTATCGTCATCCACAACACCAATATCGGCAACCACTCTTTTTTATCCTTCACCTCTTTCGGAAGCATCGACATCTCCAACAGCGTCACCAGATCCAAATACCGCATTGTTTTGTATTAATTGTGGAGTAAAAGAAACACCTTTATGGAGAAGAAAAAGAATGGAAAGATATTGCAATGCGTGTTGTCTATAGTAAGTGTGTTAATAATGTTTACTTAATTGCAATTTCATTTAAAAAAATTAATATATTAATATGAATTTCGCTTGGATTTCTTATTTAGTTTGAAAAGAAACGGAATCCATAGGAAATTGAATGGTAATAAAGTGCTTAGAAAAAAGAGGAAGAAAAAAAACCACTCTTGTGCAGAATGTAATACAAATTATTCACCTATATGGAGACATTTTGACGATAAGATCTATTGTAATAAACACGGACTTGCAAAAAAAAAAAGATTATTCCCTACCTATTATAATAAAAACAATAAACACGGACTTGCAAAAAAAAAAAGACAAACCCGATTATTCCCTACTTATCAATAAAAATTTAAAAAATTTAAAAAATTTTTAAATTTCTTCACACACATTTCTTTTCTTTCTTATTTTATATATATAATTTTTATATTCTATTATTAACAAATTTATATATGTTATATATGTTATATATGTATATACAGTATATAAAGTTATCAATTATTTTATAATATATTCAAATTCGTTTATTGGCAAATATAAATATAACAAAATCATTTCTTTTATATCTTAAGCATATATAAGCATATAAATTTTTATCTAAGACATCAAAATATCTTACTTTAAAATATGTTGATTTCAATATTAAGTTTAATATAAGATTTAAGAAAATTCTGATAATTTAAAAAACTATTACGGTAAAACACAAACTCACTACTCACTAAGTCAATACCAATTAAACTCGAGAAATTTACATACAGTAAATTTATTATTTTATTTTACTATTCACTTTTATCTTATGACTGACTCTATATAATATTGAGGTATCACCCGATTCTAACATATGTACCATATGTACATTAAAATTATTAAAATTTTATTTAATAAATATTTATTTCATGCACTGTAACGTATATCTGATATTGAAAAAATCGAAGTGCGTAAATAAACAACAATAAAAACAATTCAAATATTAGCCAATATATCTAACATATCAATAAATATGTCTAAAATTGTACTTCTGTACTTTCCAGCCCAAAATACAAATTATATCCACACTCGCGGCATTATTCTGTCTTGCGGAATATATCCAATAATCAATTTTATTCGCTTTTTTCTTTCAAAGTCTATATAATTTGTTTTAAATATTGTATATCTAAATATTGTTGTTTTACCATTTAAATGAATCCTTTGAGGATATCTTTAACGGAATGATAAATCAATTTACATGGAAAAATTTCTTTAAATAAAAATATCCCAAATAAAAAAAGGGGGAGGAGAGGGGATTTATAATGAAGAGTTTTCTAAACTTAAATTTGAATACCCAAATTTATTCTCGCTTTTAAATATCTTATTTTTAAACCAATAAAATCCGCAACATTCATAAAAGAAAATAAATCCATCATAAAATACCACTTTATTTTCATTATAAATACTATAAGCGCATAATAATGTTAAAAGAAATACACTAGAGAGAATTATTATAATTAAAATACAATGAGTTTTACATTGTTTTTCTTCTTGCAAATTATAATACCAAAATGATTCGTATTCATCATCCGTTGAAGATGTAGTTTGTAAAAACATTATTTTTAATGTGAAGATAATTTAATATTTATACGTTTGAAAGAAATAAAAAAATTTTATCTGAAATCAATTAATCGGATTACCCAAAACTTTAATAGGCTGTGTCGAACTATCAAAGCCACTTAAGGGAGCCAACCAATCAATAGCACCAAAAAATGTATTAAATAGCTAGCTTAAAACATAATTTTATCCATTTTCTTACTGGGAGAAACTTGTAAAAAAGTATATGAAAAGATTAAAAAAATGTGTATAATGTGTATTAATATAAATAAGTTGATAGAAAACTAGTACAGGACTTCTTAGTCTTGAATTAAATCACCAAACCAATAATCATTAGAGGGTCTTTTTCTTTTATCACCTAAAATTTCTTCAGATACTTTAGCTATTCTTAAAAGAGTGGCTTCATCGAACCATTTTGCAACAAATTGTAATCCAATAGGTAAATTATTATCATCATAACCTGCTGGTACCGATACTGCTGGTATACCGGAAAAATTAGCGAAAGTAACATACATCATTACTTCTGATACTGTTTTTAAATCTGCTTCTCCATATTTTAATGAATTCGGATAAATTTTTGGTGCTGTAATTGCCGTACTTGGAGTTAAAATTAAATTTACTTGTTTATTAAATAGATTTGAAAGACTGCGCATTAAACGTGTACGTAATTGTTGCGAGATAACTAAATATTCAAAGGATTAACATTTTATCGCTTTCAAAAAGAAAAATTTAAAGGCAAAAGAAAACTTACTGTAATCCTAGAAAGAAAGATTGGATGATTTTTTTTAGTAAGCGAATACATGAAAAGTGAGTTTTGCAAATTTTACAAATAATAACTTACCGATGCTGTTGCAAAATGAAATAAACTCATATTTAATCTACTTTCACAATTATATTTATGAAAATTTTCTTTATACTTTTTAGCAAACGTAGATATTTCCGAGCCAATAGTAAGTAAATGAGCTATACTTGCTTCTTCTAATTCGGGTATATCAATTTCAACAAAGTTTGCTCCAAGTAGCTTTAACTTTTCAATAAAATTATTTAACGCTAGAGTTATGGTCGGATTATAAACTTGTTTATTCCATGCTGTATATATTCCAATTTTCAAATCTGATAAGTCTTTAGTGTTATATAGACCAGATAATGTCGGTTTGGGTTGGTAATAAGTATTGGGATCTTCTTCATCTTTTCCTGCCATCACATAATACGCTAATGCTAAATCATTTGCGCTTGCTGTCATAGGACCTGACACTGCTACCGTGGGGGCAAGTGGAACTAAATAAACATAAAAGTATAAATTATTAATTTACGTTTCAGAACCTTTTTAAAGTTACTTTTACATACGTTCTCCTTTTGAAGAAAATCTTCCAAACGTGGTTTTTAATCCGTAAATACCACAAAAAGCAGAAGGAATTCTAATCGAACCACCACCATCACAACCAATCGCGATTGGACATAGCCCTGAAGCAACTGCAGAAGCACTACCGCTACTCGATCCACCAGTATAATGATCGATGTTATAAGGATTACGAGACGTGCACACACTTGGATTATTGCCTGTAATACTATTAAAAAGATGGATGAATTAATGAATAGATGAATAGATGAATTAAACAAAAAATATATATATACAAATATTTTATGAATCTTACCCGATTCCAATTTCGTGCATAGAAGTTTTCCCGATAATAATTGCACCTTTCTCTCTGAGCCTTTCAATAACAGTGGCATCCGTTTTAGCAATAAACCCTCGATTGATAAATGACGTACCAACATTTGTTTCGTATCCTTCCACATCTAATTCATCTTTAATTGCTATGGGTACTCCATCAAGTGGCCCTAAAGAACAATTATTTGCATATCGAGTAGTTGACGCAGTTGCTTGTTTTATAATATCTTCTCGTTCGTATTTTATAATTGCGTTTAGAGATGGATTGCACTTAAGTGATCCTTCTAATTTTCCAATAAGAATTTCGCATATCTTTCATTTGAAAAAAAAAATTTAAAATTTATATGTGTATGTATAAATATTTTTTTTTTAAAAAAAATTGTTTTTACTTGAAGAGGGGTTGCCTTTTTTGTAAGATATGCTTTACGAAAATCACTTGAACACAAAAATCCAGAAGAATAATTTTGCTGTGCACTCTCATTTTCTTCGAAAATTTCCAATCCTTCTACCTTCTTTTTAAATTAAATCAAAAAAAAAAAAAAAAAATTTTATCATAAAAAAAAAAAAAACTTTGCAATATACTAATGATTAACATTTTAGGGTAGGATACTTTAGTTTCTTCAATTCCAAAATATTCTTTTGGTAGAGGAAGTGGAAAATTAGTAGGACATTCATCAAGATTAAGTTTTCTCAAAGCAGAAATTCTATCCCAAAATAAAAATGATGCAAGTCCTGGAACGTAATCTAATAAAAATATAAAAATTCGTAATGAAAAGCCGTTTATATACGGTCCTATCATTCGTTTGATAATCTAAAATAATATTTAAAGGAACACATTAATTTATTTATAATTTATAATATCAAAATAACTTAATATTAATTATATTTTATTTACCTCAGGGTTTTCATTTTCTGAAGGCATTTTTTCTCAATCAAAAATTAATATTGTGCATCTTTTTTATAATTATTTAAATTGGAAATCTATAACCAAAAAAAAAAAATTATTGTGTGAATTATCCATGTGAAGTTCATTCCGATGAATCATCCATGTGAAGTTCATTCCGATGAATACTTGGACATAGTGAGACTGATAATCATGTATTTTTCCTAAGAAAATTTCCGAAATTTTCGGAATCCCGTGCAATCCGAAAGTAAATAATTTTACCCCTGAGAATCACCCTTTTTGGATTTAAACTGTGGCTTGTGTATAGACAAACAGTTTAAGAGCTGATCCGCCTACGAACGACAGAAATTACTATATAAATTCGGGGCGAAGTTATTATAAAAATGCCAAAATTGGAGGTCGTCTAAAGCGGGGGCAAATCACGTGATTCGGTGTAATTTTAATTAGATTAATTTTTTATAAAGAAAGATTAATAGAAACTTTAAAATCATAATATAAGCGTATTTTTATCTGCTTTGCAAGTTTACTTAAGGAAAAAAAGTGGATTATGAATATTGTTTTTGACTTTACATATGAATGAACGAAACTTTGCCGATCATATCCAAAAATGGAGGTCGTCTAAAGCAGGGGCAAATCACGTGACTTCGAAAAAAATTGTTTTCATAAAATAAAACTTTTTACCATATATTCAACCATTCTAAACACACATCCTAAATGCATTTTTGCCTGCTCTGCAAGTTTACTTAGAGCACAGAGTAGGGTTTTGAATGCTGCTTTTGATTTATTTGACTTTTTCAATTTCGTTATCCATTTTTGGATATGATCGGCAAAGTTTCGTTCATTCATATGTAAAGTCAAAAACAATATTCATAATCCACTTTTTTTCCTTAAGTAAACT